GGGATCCCGACCACTTTTCAGTCCCAAAATTTTCGGGATTAAGTTTTCCTAATCCCGAGATTTTCGGGATTGACATCATTTTTTAAAAAAAGTTGCAAAATAGACTGCATGAAGCGAAACGTTCAGTGCCAGTGCTTTTAACAGAATTGCTTGCCTATCATTTTGATATAAAATACAAGAAGTTTTATGCTACCTACAAAATCCACATAGTGACAATTTGGCTGACGATGATGAAATAAAGCATACATTTTCAAGTCCAAGCAAAGTCCTGATAAAAACAGATTGTTTCATTAATTGAGAGATTAAATGGTAAAAAAAAAATGATGAAGAGGAAAAACGAAATATGCAAGTCGAGTCTACAAATACAGAAAAAAGTGATTTGACACTCAAAGAAAAGCTTCAGCTGGAAATAGAAAACAGCATAAAAATGATGTCTCCTGAAGCATTAAATGAAAATGATTTTTCCAAAATTGTCAAGAAAGAAATGAACCTGTACAAGTCTTCAAATTCTACTCGAAGCTATAACCTAGAATGGGCTTATAAGTATTTACTAACGATTCCTCCAACTTCCATCGAACCTGAACTCGTTTTCTCAGCAGCTGCATATATGTGCAACAAATTGAGAAGCAGGCTTGGTGATGAGACAATGGATGCGTTGTTATTTCTCAGATCATATTTTCGCAATTCAAATTAGAATGTTCCTATTAGATTAATTTTCTGTATATTTAAGAAAAATGTGACTGATTAATATTATTTTAAAATACTTTTTGCTAAGAAACTTACTTTACTAACTACTTAATAGGTTGTTACTTGAAAGTCATCTATTTAGTCGATATTAAGAGAGAGTTTTGTTAATTTTCAACGTTTATTTGCGTAGTTTGTTACATAAAGGTCTCTTTAAATTACATAAATTGAAAAAAATCTCAGTGGTGCTTGGAAAATAATAACTTTAACATGAAGACTGAGTGATTTTGTCTGGTTAGTCTGACTCTAAGTCTGATTAATTAGTGATTAGATTAGCTAGATTTATACCATAAAATACGTTGATTTTTGTCTAAATTTTGATTTTTTGATTAAAGGTAAGATTTTCTGTAAGATTTTCTTATTAACCCTCAATACCGAAATAATCCCAGGATCCCGAGATTGACTAATTATAATCCCAAAATCCCGGGATTAGAAATAAGGGCAGGGATCGAATTCCCTAGCTGTATGTGACTACCACTAAGTATATTTTAATAAAACTTAGAATTATATTACAAACTTGTTTTTTTTTTTATTTTATGCTATTTATAAAGAAATCAATGATATTGTTCAGTTAAATGCATACTGAAGAGCAATTTAATTGATAAATGCCATCATACATTTCATTATTATTAACAGTAAAAATATAATTTGATGAAAAAGAAAAATATTTTATTTTCAAAATTTTTCATTTCTCATTTGCTTAATAATGATTTGTATCTTAATTTAAAAAAATATTTTGGTGAAGTCAAAATTATAAATTAAATTTTTACTCATTGGTATAAGTTTGAATCTTAATTGCTATTATTACTTATATATTTAATGTTTTTCAACTTTATATGTCTATTGATATATGACATATGATAGCAAGTTTCTACTATACTAAAACTAAATAAGTCTAAATCTTACTTAAGATTAACATTATAATATATATATAATGTTGTTTTTATTTGCATAGAAAGTTTGAAAGTATTATATCCATATCTTCAAATATGAAGATTAATGTACAAACATCACTAAACCCGATATATAATATATAGCTAAACACCAACCGTATGCAAAAAATCTATCAGGCTAGTTTAAGGCTAATTACTAAATGAATTATGTAACCAATTTGGCTCTAGAGGTAAGCGTTAGGCGCCATCTCTTATTAACATTAATAATTATAAATAAATTAATTAATTTAAATAATTTAGAACCGCTGGGAGAAAAGTAATTAGCCTTAAACTAGCCCGATAGATTTTCGGCATACGGTTGGTGTTTAGCTATGAAGATTAATGGCATGCAATCATTGTATCTAGTACTTTGTTATCTGTATCTGACTTAAAAAAAGTCAATGATTTTAAATACTATAAAAGAATCAAATATCTTAACTAAAGAAATTATATCTTAGTTAGTTGGAATTGTAAAGTAGATCTTGATCAATAAAAAATGCATTAAAAGTTATTCTTTCATCCTTAAACAGTTATTAAATGTATGATTAAAGATTATATTGTAGAAGTTAAGAAACTCAATAAACAGTCATATTATAATAGTGAATAAGAATATTGTAATAAATCTAATTTTAAAAATCTAACAAATAACAATCAATAACTTTATTATAAATATAGTAGTATCCTATATATCATCATTGTAATTTCAATGAAATGATTGAATGAATATGACTTTTTTCTGTTGTAAACTTGATTTAAGTGAAAATACTGTACTAAAAACGACTTTAAATATAATTTAATTAATAAATTTTATATAAGTGAAAATGCTAAGATATATTTTTATGTTATAGATTTCTTTAAAAGGATAAGAGCGTGTGTAATGAGTTTTTTTTTAAACAGTCAATTAAATAAAATTATTTCAATTACTGAACTTTATAGAAAAACATTTTAAAATTTATCAAAATACTGAAAATGTTATAGATGTAACTGACAGCAATAAATTATTATTCTCATTATTTTAGTAATTAGAAGAATTTGAGCAATTGTCCAAACTATAGTGTTTGTGAAATATTCAATAAAATATGAAAAACTTTCTCAACTAAGTTGAATGCATAATATTTTAATCATTAAAAACAATCTGTAAAATAGAAATTCCCAAATGTCTTTGATTAAAGGACTTTTTCACTGTTATTTGAAACTAAAAGTATGAAATATTATACAATTCTGATTAGTTAACAAACTTTTAGACAAATAGTTAATAAAACGTTTTAAGATGTTTTACTGTATAATTTTTTTATTCATTTGAGTGATTGTATTGATATTGATGCATTTTACTATGATAATTAATTAATTAAGTGAGAACAAATTTTGTTTGTTTATATTAAATAATGAGACTGATCTTTACTGTCATAAATGATTTCCCACTAAATATATGATATTCTGTGATCTTGAAAATCTAATATCAAGATTATTACAAAGTTAAATAAAGGTCAAACTGAAGCTTTCCAAAAGTTGAAGGGGATTTGCAGGAAAGATGGAGAAGAGGTTTAATGAAAGTCATGAAAATGATGACAACAAAGAATGAGCACATTAACAACAGAGAAAATGTTGGACAAAAGTGAAACAAATACTCAACTAGCAATACTACAAAGAAATTCTGATTAAGCTGAGGAAAAGAGTTAGAAGAAGGAGAGTAAATTTATAGAATGATAAGCTTCTCCATCATGACAATGTGCCATTTCAATGCATTTTCTGCTAAGCAGTTTTTAGTCAACAAATAGAAAACAGTATTTGAACATCCACTCTACTTGCCTAATTTAACTTCATGTGATTTCTTCTTGTTTCCTAAAATGAAAAGCTTACTAAAAAGAACAAAATTTGAATTGGTATAGCAGGCAGATAAAATGGTAAACCTATCTACCTGCATTGGCAGAAAAGCAGCTGGTAAGAAGGGAGTATAATAATAATATTTTAATTTTTATAAATAATTAATTTTAAATCTATAAAAATATTTACCACTAACTATAAATGAATTTAAATCTAATCTTTTAATTTTCACATTTAATATTGATATTGCTTACTAGAGTCATTGTATCTTAAAGCATTTTTTTAAATTAAATTTTATAAGCGGATAAAAGATATACATACACAATCTTTAAATTTTACTGTCATAAATTTTTGAACTTAAAAATAATATTTTTAAATCTAATTTTATAGAATTGAAAGTTATTCCTGTAAAATGGCTGGAGGAGATAAAAGATTATTTAAAACAATGAATGCTGAAGCTGGTACTAGTCCTCATGATTTGCAAGCACTCTCTCCTCCTCAGTGTGTATTGAATATCCACAGTCCAAGTAAAAATTACAGGTAAAACTATCTATCTAATTTCAAGGGAAAGATAATATGAATGATTATTGATGACAGTATTGAACTATAACATTCACAATGTTAGTTTTTGTACAACTGGGTATATTTTTTGCCATATTATAATCTATATTAAATGATTAACATAACTCAAAATTTTCTTCACTGTAATTTTATGTTTAAAAATCAGATTTATACTAATTTCATATATAGAATTCTAAAACAAAGTTAATTTTTAATATAAAATTGTTTTCCAATAATTTATTTTTTACAGCCATAGTCAAAGTGACGATGGTGAAGGTCATGGGCCTTTGTGTGATACCATAAGTCGAAAGACTCTATTCTATTTGATTGCAACACTTAATGCATCTTTCCACCCAGATTATGATTTCAGTCAGGCTAAAAGTGAAGAATTCAGCAAAGAACCAAGTTTAACTGTATGTATCTTGTCAATTATATTTTCTAAAATAATTCTGATTTTAAAATATGAAAATTAAATAAATGTTCTTGAATAGTTACACAATTCCTAATGTTATCAGCATAAGTGATAGACATCTTCAGGAAATCAAACTCCAATGAGCAGAATGTTTAGATGAACACATTTGAATCAGTTCAAATAAAATAAAAATGATAACAAAAACAATCTTATCTGTGCATCCAGTCCTGATTTAAATGCTTTCATCTAAACATTCTGCTCACTGGAATTCAATTTCCTGAATATGACCTATCAATTAGGCTGAAAATGTTAAAAATTTTGCATAAAATAAAAATCAGAAGGAATATCAAAAATAAACTAATCTAATCCTAAAAGATTCAGGTTATTAGTTTTTTAATCAACCTTTAAAAAAAAGATTAAGAAAGAGAGAAAAAAGCAATTATATGAAAAAGATTTTATTTTATTTTTTTTATAAACTTTATGCCTGAAGGAGAAATGAAGGTCACCTATTCAAGTAACAAACTGTATTTACTTGCACTGTCTGACATTTTTAGAATTGATGTCAATAGAAATGTGAACCTTATAATAATGTATCACTTTAAAATTTGCATTCTTTAATTTTATTTCAAAAATAATAATTATGATAATTTTAAAATAGTTCAATCAATATATTTTTTAATATTCATAAAATATTAATATTGATTTCAATATTTTTAACTTTTCCTTATGAAATATTTTATGTCCTGTCCTACATTTTATTGTAGGAAGTATTGCAACATAGTTGTATTGAGTAGATATTTTTTTACATTTTCCTAAGTAGGAATGCGTACTTTTTTCTTTGTAATTACTTGTGAGTAGAATCTGTATTAGTTAAACCATGTACATGTAGTTGCTTCATTTTTAGTCTGAAGCTATTTTTAGTAAAGACAGTATTACAATGATAAAATTTTGGTGCTTTTTTTCTTAAAGATTATAATTTTCTTTTGAAAAATTATACTCATTTTATAATAATTTCATTTATCAATTAACAAATTCTAAAGCAATAAATTAAAACTGGTATTTATAAAAGGAAAATTTTCTAATTTTTTTCAAAATTTTATTTCTTTTATTAAAATAATTTCTAAATTTTATGATATAACAACATTTGTTTTCTAATATNAAAACATAGAATAAATGTTTTTAAATCTCACTCTGAATTCACTGTTAAAAGTTGATATAACAACATTTTTTTTCTTTTTAGCAAAAAAATATAACAAAAGTTATTTGTGTAAACGTATTCTAAAAAGTGTTTTTCTTAGTAAGAGGAAAGAAAAAGATTACAGCCTTTTCTTCTACAACAAAGTCCAGTTCACCATTAATCTCATTGGAGAGAATAAAGATGATGACAAGGATTGGTATAATTCATGTCACCATCTATATTATTTTCTCCTTTTTGATTTTTGTTTTAATTACAAGCTTAATACTACTAAAGAAAGTTTCATAATATTAAATACAGTAAAACTCCAATTATCCAAATTAATTGGAACCTTTGGTTTCTGGATAGATGAATTTTTGCTTAAAATAATCTTTTTTCTATCCAAACAAGTCATTTCGTATATTTGTCATAGCTGAAAATAAAAGTATTAAATGTGGAAATGTACCTACAAATGAATATACTTTTTTTCTACATTTAGAAAAAATTACTTTTCATACATACACAGTACATATACATACATCCTATTTATTTTAAACAAAAAATCAGAGAGCTGTATGTAGAAGATTTGATCCTGGGATCCCAACCACTTTTCAGTCAAGAAATTTTCGGGATTAAGTTTTCCTGATCCCGAGATTTTCGGGATTGACATCATCTTAAAAAAGTTGCAAAATAGACTGCATGAAGCAAAACGTTCAATGCCAGTGCTCTTAACAGAATTGCTTGCCTATTGTTTTAATATAAAATACAAGAAGTTTTATGCTACCTACAAAATCCACATAGTGACAATTTGGCTGACGATGATGAAATAAAGCATACATTTTCAAGTCCAAGCAAAGTCCTGATAAAAACAGATTGTTTCATTAATTGAGAGATTAAATGGTAAAAAAAAAATGATGAAGAGGAAAAACGAAATATGCAAGTCGAGTCTACAAATACAGAAAAAAGTGATTTGACACTCAAAGAAAAGCTTCAGCTGGAAATAGAAAACAGCATAAAAATGATGTCTCCTGAAGCATTAAATGAAAATGATTTTTCCAAAATTGTCAAGAAAGAAATGAACCTGTACAAGTCTTCAAATTCTACTCGAAGCTATAACCTAGAATGGGCTTATAAGTATTTACTAACGATTCCTCCAACTTCCATCGAACCTGAACTCGCTTTCTCCGCAGCTGCATATATGTGCAACAAATTGAGAAGCAGGCTTGGTGATGAGACAATGGATGCGTTGTTATTTCTCAGATCATATTTTCGCAATTCAAATTAGAATGTTCCTATTAGATTAATTTTCTGTATATTTAAGAAAAATGTGACTGATTAATATTATTTTAAAATACTTTTTGCTAAGAAACTTACTTTACTAACTACTTAATAGGTTGTTACTTGAAAGTCATCTATTTAGTCGATATTAAGAGAGAGTTTTGTTAATTTTCAACGTTTATTTGCGTAGTTTGTTACATAAAGGTCTCTTTAAATTACATAAATTGAAAAAAATCTCAGTGGTGCTTGGAAAATAATAACTTTAACATGAAGACTGAGTGATTTTGTCTGGTTAGTCTGACTCTAAGTCTGATTAATTAGTGATTAGATTAGCTAGATTTATACCATAAAATACGTTGATTTTTGTCTAAATTTTGATTTTTTGATTAAAGGTAAGATTTTCTGTAAGATTTTCTTATTAACCCTCAATACCGAAATAATCCCAGGATCCCGAGATTGACTAATTATAATCCCAAAATCCCGGGATTAGAAATAAGGGCAGGGATCGAATTCCCTAGCTGTATGTGACTACCACTAAGTATATTTTAATAAAACTTAGAATTATATTACAAACTTGTTTTTTTTTTTATTTTATGCTATTTATAAAGAAATCAATGATATTGTTCAGTTAAATGCATACTGAAGAGCAATTTAATTGATAAATGCCATCATACATTTCATTATTATTAACAGTAAAAATATAATTTGATGAAAAAGAAAAATATTTTATTTTCAAAATTTTTCATTTCTCATTTGCTTAATAATGATTTGTATCTTAATTTAAAAAAATATTTTGGTGAAGTCAAAATTATAAATTAAATTTTTACTCATTGGTATAAGTTTGAATCTTAATTGCTATTATTACTTATATATTTAATGTTTTTCAACTTTATATGTCTATTGATATATGACATATGATAGCAAGTTTCTACTATACTAAAACTAAATAAGTCTAAATCTTACTTAAGATTAACATTATAATATATATATAATGTTGTTTTTATTTGCATAGAAAGTTTGAAAGTATTATATCCATATCTTCAAATATGAAGATTAATGTACAAACATCACTAAACCCGATATATAATATATAGCTAAACACCAACCGTATGCAAAAAATCTATCAGGCTAGTTTAAGGCTAATTACTAAATGAATTATGTAACCAATTTGGCTCTAGAGGTAAGCGTTAGGCGCCATCTCTTATTAACATTAATAATTATAAATAAATTAATTAATTTAAATAATTTAGAACCGCTGGGAGAAAAGTAATTAGCCTTAAACTAGCCCGATAGATTTTCGGCATACGGTTGGTGTTTAGCTATGAAGATTAATGGCATGCAATCATTGTATCTAGTACTTTGTTATCTGTATCTGACTTAAAAAAAGTCAATGATTTTAAATACTATAAAAGAATCAAATATCTTAACTAAAGAAATTATATCTTAGTTAGTTGGAATTGTAAAGTAGATCTTGATCAATAAAAAATGCATTAAAAGTTATTCTTTCATCCTTAAACAGTTATTAAATGTATGATTAAAGATTATATTGTAGAAGTTAAGAAACTCAATAAACAGTCATATTATAATAGTGAATAAGAATATTGTAATAAATCTAATTTTAAAAATCTAACAAATAACAATCAATAACTTTATTATAAATATAGTAGTATCCTATATATCATCATTGTAATTTCAATGAAATGATTGAATGAATATGACTTTTTTCTGTTGTAAACTTGATTTAAGTGAAAATACTGTACTAAAAACGACTTTAAATATAATTTAATTAATAAATTTTATATAAGTGAAAATGCTAAGATATATTTTTATGTTATAGATTTCTTTAAAAGGATAAGAGCGTGTGTAATGAGTTTTTTTTTAAACAGTCAATTAAATAAAATTATTTCAATTACTGAACTTTATAGAAAAACATTTTAAAATTTATCAAAATACTGAAAATGTTATAGATGTAACTGACAGCAATAAATTATTATTCTCATTATTTTAGTAATTAGAAGAATTTGAGCAATTGTCCAAACTATAGTGTTTGTGAAATATTCAATAAAATATGAAAAACTTTCTCAACTAAGTTGAATGCATAATATTTTAATCATTAAAAACAATCTGTAAAATAGAAATTCCCAAATGTCTTTGATTAAAGGACTTTTTCACTGTTATTTGAAACTAAAAGTATGAAATATTATACAATTCTGATTAGTTAACAAACTTTTAGACAAATAGTTAATAAAACGTTTTAAGATGTTTTACTGTATAATTTTTTTATTCATTTGAGTGATTGTATTGATATTGATGCATTTTACTATGATAATTAATTAATTAAGTGAGAACAAATTTTGTTTGTTTATATTAAATAATGAGACTGATCTTTACTGTCATAAATGATTTCCCACTAAATATATGATATTCTGTGATCTTGAAAATCTAATATCAAGATTATTACAAAGTTAAATAAAGGTCAAACTGAAGCTTTCCAAAAGTTGAAGGGGATTTGCAGGAAAGATGGAGAAGAGGTTTAATGAAAGTCATGA